TCCCCCTCTGCATTACAGATGGGGTTTTTTGGCAGCTGTGTGTGAGTCCTTTTTTTAATGTGATATATCTAGTGGAAACAACATGACTTTTAAATTTTGATGCCATGGTTCTGGAAGCTCTAGAAATAGTCCTTCTAAATAGTAGTTGGAGGCATTTAATTTAGAATAATTTTAAGGAACTTTTATGGCAGACTTTGAAATTGAAACATATAACCAGGTGAATGTGAAAAATTACAGTTCTGAATGAAAATATGTAGAATCTCATCTTGCTGTCTTTTGAGAAAATGAGTTTTCCCATGGTCAGTGTACTCTATCTCTTCCTTGCAGGCTTTACTAATGGCAAGATAAAAGCTGTATTTTCACAGGGAATATTAAAACTCTGAATGAGGACAGCAGAAATACCTGATAATTCGAGCCTTATCTGGTACAAATTGTAGCAAAACAATACATTACAGAAATTGCATCTGCAATCACATACTAATGCTTTTGAAGAAAGGCTTTAGAATATCTGGCACAAATGAAATATATGCTTTGTTCAGCATACATAAAAGAAGTTTTGCATCCAGTTCTTTAGACAGTGATAGTCCAGCCTCCTTGGGTTAATGAGCACAGGAGAGTGCAGTGCTAGCCCTGCCTTTTTGCTGCATTTCATGTGTCTGGGCAGAGCTTGGGCTGCTGTTTGCAAAGGCCATTGCTGCTCCCTGAGCTGGAGCCAAAGGAGTTTGCCACATTTCATTGTCTGGGAGCCTCAGCAAGCAGCAAAGGGCTGAATGTGCTGAAGATAGAACAGAGAATTGGCATCTCCATCCTTTCCAATGCCACTCCTTTGAGGTGCTCTGAGCTGCTGTGGTCCCCAGCCTGTACTTTGGAAACAGAGAAATGGGAATGGATTTTGTTACCCACAGTTCTGGAGACCCAGACTGCACTGTGCTTGACAGTGGGGAGTTGATTATTCCACCCTAACAATCAAGATGTAAAAAAAAAAAAAAAAAAGGAAAAAAGCAAATAGTCAACACAAATGGATTCAGTGGTGATAAATTTTGTGTAGTCTGATACTATTTTTCAAATGTTAATTTTATTTATTTAATTATTTATTTAACACCCAGTCGTGTAACTGAATGAATTCAGTCAGTGAATATAGGTCTTTCACAATGAGTTCCCTTCAGTTAACAAACAAAAGCGATATTTATACTTATATTTAGACTCTAGTTGTAATTTTGCATATTGTGAAACAGATTTTGTGTATTTTTTTAAAAAACCCCAAACAATAAGGATGGTGCGTGCCTTTTAGTGTTTGTAACAAAGTCAGATTTTAGGAAAATCCTCAAAAAGGTAACACCTGTGTAGCTGTGGTGTTTCTTCTCTCCCAATTTGTCTCTCATCAGCTGCTGCAGTCTCAGGGGTGCAGAGTCCAAAAAAAACTCTAAAAAACCTTGGAGAGTAGTGCAGGGGCAGTGGGAGCAGTAAGGAAAGCAAGAGGATCTGCCTCACCAAGGAAGAGCTGCAGGGAGTGAATAAAGGAGCATCAAATTTTCTGCTGGAGAAAATATTTTTTTCCCCTGGAAAGTAACAATTGCTAGAAGGAAAATGGAGTTGGGATATAGAAATAAATGAAACCATGCTGGTCCTTAATTATCATATACTAACTGTGCTTCCTTGGGAGCTTGATGGAAAGCTGAAGAGGTTAAAATAAAACAGGGATGCTTTTTAGGCTGGTGATGCATGTTGCCAGACAACTAGAACTAGTATTAAGTCTCTAGATTAGTAAAATCACTTGCCTTGCATAATCAGAAATGATTCATGTGGCTTGTAAAAGTCTGTTTAAAAGGATGAAGTGCTGTGTAATTTATGGATTAAGATTTGCCCTTCAATGCTTGTGAAGCTCATTATAGGGAATTACATTGTGTATTCTGGGAAGAAATTTGACGTATATTACAAATTAATCTTGTGCAAACGTGATACAGTAGTGACTTAAATTTCTTATTGGAGCATCAAATCTAAAGTTACTCTTCTAGCAAAGCAGGTGGAATTTCTCCTTGTCATGGGCACAGGAGGGCAGGTTCAGGTGTTTTGCTACAGGAATGTCCAAGCAGAGCTGGTCAGACTGGGTGGTGTTGTGTAGTCCTCAAGGATGGAGGGGAGACATTCATTACATGGATTTTACCTTGGAATGAGGATATCCCTCATCTCATTGAGTAGGAGATGGATTTGTGGTGGAGCCACTCCTTGGTGTCAGCTTGTGAGGGTTAGACCTGCCCCTTGAATTAAAGCAGTCAGAATAGGACTCCTGGCAGCCTTAGAAACTGGAGGATAAGCTGCTGTAAACATCTTTACAGTTGACTTTATGTTTGTCTTTTAAGGACAAAATGACAGTATTAATGTCAGTTCTTTAATGCTTTCCCACATCTCATCAGTGCCTGTTGCAGTGTCTGTCGTAGGAAAAACAAGAAATGTGTGCTGGGTCCCTGCTGGGGGTGGTGCTGGGCTTTCCCTGAGCCAGGGCTGTTGGCATGGGAGTGGTGAGCCAAGAAATGCAGATTCCTGCAGGAGAGATGCTTTTCTCTCATAGTTGAGACAGTCACAGTACAAAGCAACACACTCCGTTTTCAGAAGGCTTCAAACCTGGTTTTATTGTAGCACGAATGCTTTTTGCACATTCTTACAGAACCCCTGAGTTTACACTTCACTCATAGGTCAGGAAAGACAAACAAAGTGCTCATTGGAATAGGCAGTTGTAGATTTCTCTTCTTTACCCTTCTTTCTTTCTTGGTCTTTATGTCAATGACCTTGGTAGGAAGTTCTTTCAGGGGTAAACATGGATCCTCTTATCAGACGTCTCTCTGGCTCACAGCAGTCACTGTAAAACCTCCTCCACACTTTTCCATTGAGAAATCCAGTAAGCTTTGGCCAATATTGCTTTGCTTTTCTTCTTAAATCCTGCTTGCCAGCCTCCTAACTTCACTGGTACCATGGTTTCTGAATTTTTAGATACCAAACCATTTGTGTGCATTTAACAAATATAGAACACTGACTTGAAGTCCAGATGTGGTCAGCAGCTTTTCATATATATGATAATCACATAGCAAATATCTTGCTTTGAGTCATAACCCATGCAAATGAAGAATATACCTCCTTTTCTTAGCAAAGTAGTTTTCTTTTCAAGGTCTTTGGTCCTGGGAAGTGCAGGCAGTCTAATTGATGTGTATTCCTTGTGCTCCGTCCTTTGATGCTGCCTGGTGACAGTGCTGCCAGGAGCTACTAAACTTGCTGACAATGTTTTCCTGGCTGCACCTGGCAGGCAAACTCATTTTTTTGCCCTGTCTGCTTACAGCTTTTCCTTCTGAGCTCTTAAAAATTATTTTTCATCTTGTTACTGAATAATCGGAGGGTGATGGCTTTTGTCAGTGGCAGAGCCATGAATTAATTATTTGATTTTCACAAAAGAATTCATACTATCTCCTATCTCACTCTCTTTAAAAAAGATAATTTATCCTGCATATCTTGTTGAATGTTTAACTTAAATACAACGGAAAGAAGGTGCAGGCAGCTGTGTGCTAAGGCATAGAACCCAAGATTCATTTGTTCTTTTTCACTCAGGAGATTTTAGGGAGTGGGAGAAGAAGGATGAAGTAAAAATGTCTTTTTTTTAAATTTTTTTTTGGACTTTTTGCAATACACAATGAGGTTTACCTTCCTGCCATCCTGGATTGTGTGGAATTCTTTCAGCCTGGGTGGGAGACTGCTCCAGTTCAAGTGTGGTACACACACAAGGGTCCAGTCTGCCTTGTGTGCCAATAAAGTTTTTTTTCAATATTTTTTCAGTTCTCTCATTTTTCATTGATCTTTTTTTGAGGGTGAAGGAGATGGGGATGGCTCTCTGAAGCCTCTCAGTGCTGGGGTGTTGCAGCAGTAGAGACACTCAGAGGAGAGGAGGCGTGGTGTTCTTATTTTAGATCTCCTGGTGCCTCCATTAGAAATGCTGCTGTGCTCTGGAGTGGGAATGCTCTAAACTGAAATCCTGAATAATCGCTGGTGCAGAGGGTGCTGCTGTTTGCTACACTGTGCCCCTCAGGGAGATGGAGAGGTGCTTGTGCTTCACACCACAGTAAAGCTCCAAGTGAAACAAAGAACAAATCCTCCAAGTGAACAAAGAGCAGTGAGATCCTAAAGGGGAGTTTGATGCTTTACAAAAATGTAACACAGCATAACAAATCCTTTTTTTTTTTTTTGTTTTTTTTTTTTTTTATTTCAAGGCCTCTTTTGAGGGTGTTGTTGATTTTCCTTGTGTCATCAGGGTGTGTCTGTAGAGGTTGCCTAGCCTGCTGCCATGGCTGGAGCTAACAAATCCATGCAGGATGCCAGAAAACCTCGTGCTTTCCTTTGTCCTGTCTGAAAGGCAAACTGTGAGCTGGGGTCTGAACTTCACCCCTGCCCTTGTGGTGTGTGTGTGGATGAATGAAAGTGCTGCTGCCATGTGAGAGTGCTTTGCTCCCTCCTCCCAGGGAGCACAGGGCTGGGACAAACAGGTTCTCCATGGGTGTTATTCCCTTATTCAGCATCAGCAGATTGGAGCAAAGTGCACCTTGAGACATGAATGTTCAAGGAGAATACATTTATTAGCCTAGTAGTTTTGTAAATAAGTGTTTTACCCTTTACTAAATCTTGGTCTAGAAGCTCTACATCTATATCTGCTCTGAATGCATCAGGTTCCTTGAAATAAAAGGCTTAAGTCTGGGGGTTCAAACCAGAAAGCAAATTTGCCTACTGGTACCTACATTTTGGAATTGAAGAATTAAAAATAAAAATAAAAAAATCTGCTAATTTTACATGGCTTCTGTATGTTTAATTATATTTTTGCAACGTTATGGGGTGTTTTGGTGTAATTGGTTTAGGCAGACAAAAGTACAAATTGGAATGCTATAGTACTGTATGAAGAATATATTCCTACTATTCTAAAATAGTTTCTTAAGTGATTTGTTTTTTTTTCTGCTTCCCTGTAGATTAAAGCAAAAAATTATGACAAGGTGGAAAAGGTGAGTCATATTAATATATGTAATATATCTCTGTAGCAAGAGCAAGTACCTTGTGATTGGGCTAAATCAGATTGAAAAAACTCTGTAGCTGTCATTGAATGTGAAACACAGATAAAAAGTGGCACTAAAGTTGACTTGTTGCTGCCAAGCTCTAATCAGTGAAATGTGCAGGGGGATTTCTCTGCTTAATTCTCTCCAGTTCCCTTCCATAGGAACAAAAGAATGAGTAGTTTAACTTCTTCTTCCTTATAAATCTGAATCATAATTAGAAGGGCTATTTAAATTCATTTTGTATAGCTTTAAAAGTAGAAACCTAATTTCTGTGTCTGGAATCCTGATCAGTCTTCTTGCTGTATTGCACAGTTATTTCAGCGCTGCCTTATGAAGGTTTTACACATTGATTTATGGAAATGTTACCTTTCCTATGTACGAGAAACCAAGGGGAAGCTACCTAGTTACAAGTAAGTTCCCAGAGTTGCTCTGAATTATTCTAGTTTTATGGTGGATCTCTTCTTGATTTTTGACCAGGGGATGGGGAAGAACCTGGGTGACAAATCTGCCTGGGCATTTGCTGGTGGGGGGGTTAATATATAATCTGCATTTAGAAAACATTCAAGTCTCTCTAATTGAGCTTGCTGGGTAAAATTGGTTCCTGAGTCTGCATTCCTCTAACAGGATGGGGTAAGAGCAGTGCAGGAGCTGGTGTAGCAATGCCAGGTCCCTGCAGATGGAATTGGTGATTAAGCCAAAAACCTGAAACTCCTGAAACACATTTCTTCTTCTTTGTCCTTGCCCTCCATGTCCTGTTTAGTCTCCACAAAAGTTAGCACTGGTTCCAGCCGAGACCAGTATCAGTAAAGAGTTCAGGAATTGGAGGAAATTTTGCATTAAAAAATCATAAAATTCAGAATTTTGGGGTATGTTAATCTTCATCCCTTTTCAGTTATTACATTTTGCTTGTTTATATTCCTGTGGGTTGAGTTTCAAAAATTACCAGTGACTTCCAGCATCTATAAACTGTTTCTTCCCCAGCCCACCATGATTTCTTTGCACTATAATTAGCAAAATGAGTAATGCATTAACAAAGAAAATAAGCAAGGGGTTTAAATTTATTTTTACATGACTGTTTTGAAACAGTTTTAGGAGATTCAGTTTGCCTTTCCTCTGTTTCTCCTGTGAATGTGATCAAGGAGGCAATCAGGTACTGAAATATGTTTGAGTAAAGGAAGCTAGGACAAAAGTTAGGGAGAGAAAAAAAGAGCTTTCACTGAAACTCAACCAAGGAAATTCTGTAAACATTTCAAATTTGAGGGAAAATACTTGGAATTTGGGGGAAATAAATAGTGTGAAGTATTCTGGGCAGTTTCCACACAAGGGAGCTACTCCTAATTGTCCCAGCCTTTTGGGGCTCCTGGAGAATTACAGAAAGGTTTGGGGAACTCTGAGGGGGAAAAAATAAGAAACCATGGGTGCTTCTGTCAGCTGAGAAGATGTGGAGAGCAGTTGGTTTCTTCTCAGCTTCATGTCATATTTGTGGATTTCCACTGACTTGGGGTGGGCCAGGAACTATTAAAATGCTGGATTGTCACCAATGAATTTATAATTCTTGAATAAAACAAACAACCAAAATCCCAACAGAATCTGAACAAGGAATTTAAAGCTATCTCAATACCAATTTTTTCTTTCACCTGTTGAATATTTCTGATTCCTTGATGTTTGGTTAGAACTTGCTGCACAAAAGAATACACTTAAATAAAGAATTTTTAAAATACTAAACAGTTGCTTTATGGTCTTTGTGGTTCTTTCCCTCAGAGAAAAAATGGCTCAGGCATATGATTTTGCTCTGGATAAGATTGGCATGGAAATCATGTCATACCAGGTATGTTTTCTTAATCAAAACCCATTTTATTTCTAACTTTGTGACAACTACAGCTAACCATTGGTTTCACCATATGTAATATTTTTTCTCACCTAGATCTGGGTGGATTACATCAATTTTTTGAAAGGCGTGTAAGTACCTGAAAATTCACTTTTTTTTTAAGCTCAGTTGATGCAATGCTGATGTTGCTGCCAGTTGTGACCTGTCATAGCTGACCATGCTCTCTCTCCCCACTGTTTAGAGAAGCAGTAGGATCTTATGCAGAAAACCAGAGGATCACAGCTGTCCGTAGGGTTTACCAGCGTGGTTGTGTCAACCCCATGATAAACATAGAGCAGCTCTGGAGAGATTATAACAAATATGAAGAGGTAACCAATAACTGATTCTTTGTGACATTCAGAAAGAAGTAATTATCCTGTAATGCAACATGGTGCCCCAAGCCATATCCTCTAAACACATATGTATAAAAGAGGTGACCAGCAGTATAAACACATTTTTGTGTGCAGTATGTACCAACTCCTGTGGCAAAAAATCACTCCTGAGTGATTTTTAAATTTCTTCCAAAGATTCATTTGACTGTCCCATTTCCCAGCTGGTAAATGCTGGTAAATGAGTGAGTGAGTGAGGCATCAGTGGAGCAGCTGAGCTGGCAGTGAGGACTTGTGTCCCCAAGGAGGCACTCCCCTCCTTGCACTCAGACTCAAATGGCATTCAGCTGGGATGGTTTGGGCTTCCTGCACAGCATCAAGTTACATGCTCTCAGTGCTTAAAAACGCTCCTCACCATCCTCCACCTGAAGCCATCCCAGCTCCCCTTCAGGTGAGTCTGCTCCCACACTGCCTCCAGCTCAGCTCTCTGCCCTTTCGGGCCAGTTTGGAGCTGCACCTTCACAGTGTGTTTTTAAACACATCTGCTGGTCCCAGCCAGCAGCAGTGTGAATGCAGAGCTGATGTGGGTGCCTTGGTGCTCAGCCCTGCCCAGCAGGGATGCTCACACAGCACTGCTCCTGCTGGTTGTGCACAGGCATGCTTGCTGTGGCTCCCTGTGCCCTGAGCAGCAGAGAAGGGCCAGTTCCTCTTTCCTTGTTGCTAATTAGGAAAGTTGTGAGCTTGGTGCCCTCTCATGTTGATAAGGCCGTGGTGCTTAGTGGGTGGGAGAAACTCTGGGTGGGAGAGCTCCAGGCATCCCCAGCCACCAGCGTGTACCATGACAGCTCATTGCCCCACAGGTGTCTGGGGACACCACTGCTGTCCCCAGAGAGGATGACCAGGACACACCTTCTCCAGTGTAGGAAAATCCCCACCACAACTTCCCCACAAAGCACCCCTTCCCCTCCCACACAGCCAGCAAAGGCTCTCGCTGCTGGTTCCTCCTGCTCTCAGTGAACATGGGGAGGCTGCCAGAGGCTCAGAGCTGTCCCTCCTGAGGCAGCTCAGCAGCCCCTCAGGCTGTTTGAGCAGCTGGGAGCTGAGGGCCAGAGCTCTGCTGGGCCACAGGGATCTGTCTGTCCTGTTGTGGCTACTCTGACCTCAGGGGCAGGGCTGCTGCTCACAGGTGTCCTGGCACAGGGAAAGCAATGCTCCTCACCACAAGGGCTCTTTGAGGGGGAGGTGATTGCCCAGCTGCCCAACAGCACAGAGACTTCATGCAGGTCTCAGCATGGAAAGGTGATGGCCATGTGCTGTAATCTGAGCTTTCCTTCAGCTCAGCTGTAGCCTCCAGGTAACAATACCAGCCTGTCAGTCACCAGTCTTTAATTAACTGAATGGTAAAACTTGTAGGGAGACGTGGCTCAGTGACAAAGTGACAGTCTGGCTCACAAACCTGCTGAGCTGGGGGTGCATCCTGGGAGAGTCCTGCTGGGGCATTGTTGGGTTTGTGTGCCACATGGCCCAGTTTGCCATCCCACACAGTGCCTTGGCTTCTGCAGTGAGGGCAAAGCTCCCTTTGCTTCCCAGCTCAGGGGCCTCTTTGCACTTGGGCTGAAAGCTGTGCACATCTTCTGCACAGTCCTGGCAGCCACAGCAGCAAAATCCTCCCAGACACAGGCATAGCCAGGGGGTGGCTGCTTTTCCTGCCCAAGGTTTTGTGCCCTGTGCCCGGGGCCTGGCTGCCCCCAGCCCCTGCTGCTCTTGCAGAGCAGCACAGCAGAGCCCTCTGCACGAGTGTGACGTGTGTGCAGGCCTGGAGGGAGTCAGGCAGTGCTGACACATCTCAGCCCCAGCTGACAGAGGCAGGAGCCTCTGCATGGAACCATGTTCTCTTCTAAGAGCTGTCAGTTCCTTCAGGAACAGAGGAGAAGGCAGAGCTCTGGGCCTGGAGGTCAATCCCTGGTACTCCTTGTACCAGAAAATCAAATTGCTCACGTGCTCTCAGTCAGGGAGCTGTCACTGACCATCATTTAAGAGCAAAATTGTAAATCACAAATTTTCCCACTTTCACCCACAACAGTTCATGTGGAGCTCATTTTATGTTTGAAAGGGATTAAACATAAGCTGAGGTGCTTCAGGGCACTTGAATTTTAGTAGTGAGTTCATCCTCTGATATAAGTTCTTGCCCATATATTTATTAGGTGAAATAAATATTTTGAGATGGGTATCTTAAAATAACCTTGTCTTTGGTCACTTTGGCATCCCCTTCCAAGCTCTTTCCTGCATAAATTAAGATTCAGTATGTCCAAAGGGAAATTGCACATTGCCAATTCCTTTTTTCACCCTTCTCCAGGGCATCAATATTCACTTAGCCAAGAAGATGATCGAGGACAGGAGTAGAGATTACATGAATGCGCGGCGAGTGGCAAAGGTACAACCTTCTGTTGACTTTTCTTTGTCCCATTTAACACCACAAACCAGCATTAAACTTGGTTCCTACATCAAATAAAAGTGTGCACAGACTAGTAAGGCTGGCATGCTAAAATATTTCCATTTGTTTTAGGAAGCACAACCTGAATGAAGTGTTCAATGTGTTTAAATTCAAAGCCTTGCTTGTGTTTCAGGAATATGAGACGGTGATGAAGGGCCTGGACCGCAACGCTCCCTCCGTGCCCCCACAAAACACCCCCCAGGAGGCTCAGCAGGTGGACATGTGGAAGAAGTACATCCAGTGGGAAAAGAGCAACCCTCTACGGACAGAAGATCAAACTCTGATAACAAAAAGAGGTAATGAGATGTCTCTAGGGTGTGGAGAATTGTATTTCTCAGCTCCAGCAGAAGCCACGACGTGATTCGGTGTTCAGGGATCGTGCTGGGGTAGGTGTTGGTGGAGTTTCTTGAATTGTGTGGGTGGCTTTTTTTATAAAAAACAATCTAGATTTTGCTAAAGGTAAGCTGGAAGTAAGAAATGCAATTTGGCAGACAGTTTTGTGCCACTGAACCTCTGGTGCAGGTCAGGGAACAGTAGATTGCAGCCTGATTTTATGGATGATTTTGAGTGAGCTGTGCTTGTTCCTCTGTGGACAAGGCAGGTTTTAGCTGCTGGTTGTGGTTCATGAAGTTCCTGGCAGTATAAAAGAACTGCAGCAGTGACCATTGTATTCAAAGCCAATTAGTGTTGATGTTGTCTGATTTATTTGATGCATTTTGCATTCCACGCTTGGGTTGTACAATGGTGGCACCATTTCCAAGGAGTGTTCCTCTCGTGTTTTGCCCACAGTGATGTTTGCCTATGAGCAGTGTCTCCTGGTGCTGGGCCATCACCCAGACATCTGGTATGAAGCAGCTCAGTACCTTGAGCAGTCCAGCAAGCTGCTGGCTGAGAAAGGGGTAAGCAGCTTGCCACTGGCTTTCTCCTGTTTCCTTGCTCTGACATGCTGTACTCTCACTTTTTCCTCAGAATCAGGGAGGGAGGGTGGGAAAACATAGTTGTGACATGTTCAGAATTTTCAAATGGGGAAACTAAAAATTTTAAGAAATAAAAATGTCTGCATTTTAGACAAGAATTGTGAAAAATTGTTTCAATCTTGGCCAGCTTTAGGCTTGGGGGATTTTTTGTGCCTGATTCTGTGATTCCTTAAGTACTGGGGAGATGATTTTCTCTTTGTTGGAGCACTGAATGGAAATTCACTGGGGCTTGTCACACACAGAAGATATTCCATAAATTGGCCTTCATTGTCACAGATGCTGAACAATTGTATTATTATACTTATTTTATAACAGGACATGAACAATGCTAAACTTTTCAGTGATGAGGCTGCTAATATTTATGAAAGAGCGATCAGCACTTTATTAAAGAAGAATATGCTTCTTTATTTTGCATATGCAGATTATGAAGAGGTGAGCAAAAATAGTGATGTACTGACATTAAAATCCAAATAACATCTCCCATTAATACTGTCATTTATTTGAAACATCCTGAGTGCACAAAATTCTGTAGAATTAATTTACTGATTCTTCTAGCCTTATTCTCGTTCAGTGTTTCTGAGAGGGAGCTGACAAAATGGAGAGGAGAAGCTATGAAAATCCACTCTCTTTCCATTCCAATATTGACTGTATTTCTTAAATTATCATAAGGGTGAAATGCTTACAAATTTCCCTTTCCCAGAGCATCAGCTTCTTCACTTTTAAAGTGGGCATCAAGGGCAGCTTTCCTGTCTGATTCTTGGGGAGGTGACGTTTTTGTTGGCACAGCTGTGACAGAAGATGGGGCCACGTTTGCTGCAGCTCCCTGGAGAAATCCCTTTCCCCAGACCACAGTGAGCCTCCACAAGGAGCAGTGCCCCAGTGGTGTTTATTCCACCAGGAATAAATGCCGTTTCCCACTGGGCACATGAGCACTGTGGAGTCTTCTGTGGGGCATAATTTGCCCGCTTATTTTATTGTGAAAGAATCTTTCCAGGGAGAACTTCAGGACAACAGAGCGGGGAAAAAAAGCCTTTGCCTTTAAAAGAAAAATCCTTCCTTGGTTTTCAGTGCTGTGTCCTGGTTTTTCAAGGCTGCGCAATACAGCCTGGAGGGCTGCAGCTGGCAGGGAACAGAATGGGCTATTGGAAATGTGTAGGTTGGAGAGTTAAGGAGATGGTGTTCCCACCTGTCTGCACATTGCTTTTAGACAGAGGTAAAAGGCCTTTAAGATAGTCTTTGTGTGCCAAACACCTCCAATGGCAGTTCTGCTGCAGCATTACTGCATTAGAAAGAGACTTCAAGGACTCCTGAAAAGCATGTAGTGGGAAATGAGCGTGGGAAGTAAAAAATGTCTGCACAAGACAGAATATGCATCTGGGTAAAGGGGCTGACATACACAGTGTTCAGCCAGGGAAAAATGGGAACAGGAGAATTCTAGTTTTGTCTTCAGCTTGAGTTTTGCCTTCTGGGGGGTGATCTGAAGGGGGTGAGTGAGCAGTGTGTGCTTGCCTTCCCCCAGAGCCGGATGAAGTACGAGAAGGTGCACAGCATCTACAACCGGCTCCTGGCCATCGAGGACATCGACCCCACGCTGGTAAGATCATCCTCAGTGCCTCCACATCCCCATGGATTGGCACCCAGTGCATGCACAGAGTGGGAAAGCTCTTCCAGGACTCCTTGGGTCACAGGCATGGAGTACTGAGGTGGCAGAATTACAATCTTTAATCCATTGAGATACGCTAAGACATGTGCACTTTCCTCCTGTGTCTCTTTTACAACAAGTAATGAAGATAAAAGATATAAAATATTTCACAATCCTCCTGTGGCCATGTAGTTTGCAAATAAATCTGCAATGCATCGTGTAGGTAGCAGAGTGTTGCTGTAGCTGTGCTGCAGTGACACAGTGAACACTGTCCATGTGCCAGCTGTTGTGGTGCTGAACAAGTGGTGTCAGCAGGAACCTGCCCTCAGAAGGTTGTTTAGTTTATTATAACACAACAACCTCAAAAGGTTGTTTAGTTTATTATAACACAACAACCTGAAATGGTTGTTTAGTTTATTATAACACAACAACCTCAAAAGGTTGTTTAGTTCATTATAACACAACAACCTCAAAAAGTTGGTTAGTTTATTATAAACAGACACAACAAAGCATGAGGGGGCAAAAGAAGGTGTGAAGCCTAACACTAAACATCAGGTCAGTGTCAGAGGAGAGGTATCCATTCACTGACACTTGCCATCCTTTTTGAGACACATCCTAATGCTTCCCAAAGGCACATTGTATGGGAAACCATGTGCCAGTTCCTCCTGCTAAGGAATGCTGCTATTCATGATCTAATTCAGAGTGAAGGAGAGTTGAATCCCAAAGAAATGCAAACCACAAATTGGCTGCTGAATTAAGTGGCACGTTCATTATTTCCTTGATGAGGTATAAATACTTGCAGGCAGGAGGATTTGTGTCTTGGATTGTATCATGTACAGTAAAATGCTTCATCAGGCCTTTTGGCTGTTCCTTGGCTTTATGGACATCTTAACTTTCCAGTAAAGTTATCATTTTTACAACAAGCCTTGAGTTCTCTGAAGGCACCAGCTAATGTCAATGACATTCATCTTCTTACCTCCCCTTCCTTGAAAAATCTCTGTATTCACTACTGTCTTTTCATGGGATCAGTCTTAGGTGTATTCAATTTTTTATTTTAAAAAAGATCTATAAAAAGGTTTGCCTCGGTATTATAAAGCAAAACAACACAGAGGCACAAGACAGCCTTGTTTCTATTAGGATTCATCTGCTGTATTTTGTGAATCATGATTACTTCAGACATAGTAAAAACCTTAATGATAGCCTGGTGTTCTTTGTTAGCACTGATGCTATTTAAATGTTAATGTGCACCTTAGGTTTATATCCAGTACATGAAATTTGCAAGGCGAGCAGAAGGCATTAAATCCGGAAGGACGATATTTAAGAAAGCGAGAGAGGATGCCCGGACCCGCCACCACGTCTATGTTACTGCAGCTTTAATGGAATATTATTGCAGTAAGGTAACCACAGGTGCTCCCCCTGATCCTAAACAAGTGCCAGGAGCCTGCACAGCTCACTGAAGCTAATAACTTTTTTTTTCCCCCCCCTCTAATGTTTGCAGGATAAGTCTGTGGCCTTTAAGATTTTTGAGCTAGGGCTGAAAAAATATGGGGACATTCCAGAATATGTACTGGCATATATCGACTACCTTTCCCACCTTAATGGTAAGCTTTGAGCTTTGAGAGGTCTAATGAAGCATTACTCAGACCAGGTTCTTGGTGTTTAAATTCTTCATGAAGCTCAGCAGTTCATCTGAACACAAAACCTGCTGCTGGTTTGTCTGAACCGAAGCTCCAGAAGTCTGGTGACATTAAATCTGGATTCTGCTGAAGAGAGTGAACTTTCCAAATTGTAACTCACTGGCAGTGCAGGAGTTTTACAGCATCTGCTGTGAACAGTGGGAAGTGCACTGAGGAATTCAAATCCTGAGGAAAAAGATTTAAAGGAGTTTACAGTCAGCATGAGAGGAGTGAGGGATTAGCTGGTCCTGATCAGGATGAATTTAAACTCATTCTCCCCAAGCAGATGAGATGAACAAGATGTAAAATCAGTACTGAGCATGTCAGTCATGCTTGGAAGGTGTTGGGGAGCTGCAATGGAAAGAGCAGGGACAGGGGCTGGAGGTGGAGGTGGTGGTGGAAGGGCTCTGGGTGGGATTCCCTGGGGCTGAATGGCCTCCTTAAAAAGGAAACCCAAGCTGCTGTGTGGCTTCTGCAGCACCAGGCACCATTCATTCATCTGTCAGGCTGCAGTTCCTGGGGTTTTCAGGCACTGGTAGTTTAAAGATTTTTGAGGGTTGTTTTTTTCTCCTGTGAGCTGTAAAATGAGAGATTTTATCTAAGAGAAAGTATATTTAATTTTGCTCTAAGTTATTGAGGGTCTACATAAATATTGACAATACCTTTCTGTAAGTTACCATGAGAAAAAATTCTCCTAGAACTCCCTAGTTTATTGGTCTATTTTAATAACCCAGCAGAACTCCTGAAAGCCAGGAGAACTGATCTCTGAGCTGGAAGTGCAGGAGGTGGTGCAGTGCACAGGGCAGGAGTTGGCAGCTTTAGGAACAAACCCACCAACCTCTCCATCCCCCCAGCTGGCAATGTGCAAAGACTGACTCCTTGCTGGGAGCCAGCTCTAATAATTTTGGGAGGATTCTGATAATACAAGCATATTAATATTGCCCTGATTTAAAAGGGAAATAATGAATTGAAAGGCCAAATTTACATTTGCCAACATATGCTACTGAGATAATTCAAGAAAATTGATAAAACCCCCAGAAATCCTGAAGAGATGCTAAGTAATAGCTGTGGTCTTATAAAAGAACCTGTAGTAGGATAAGTTTTGTCACTATCAATAAAAAAGACTCCCAAAGAACAAATTCACGTGGGAGTTTAACATCAGGGAAGTTTTATGTGGGCACTCAGATCTCTTTATACTTACTGAAATTCAAATCCATGAAAGTCAGCTTTATGCTTAATTCAATGTACACATCTCTTTGAATGGACATATTTTAACTTGTCTTTAATATATTTTACTCAGTGTGATTTTCTTTTTCTTTCTATTTTTAAAGAGGACAACAATACAAGAGTTTTGTTTGAACGTGTTTTAACTTCAGGGAGCCTTCCACCTGAGAAATCTGGGTATGTGTGCAAAAGCAGTTGCACTGCTCTGGAAAAGATACATAACCCCTTTCAACCATAAATATCCCAAAGAAATTAGAAACATGAACAGCAGGACAAAATTAGGTACAGATGTTCCTTCCCCTCTTCATGCTGTCCAAAATAGCAACAGCTGTGACAGATTTGGGAAAGTCCCTATCCCACCTCTAGTGAAAGTCATTAATTTGGGAAAGTCCCTATCCCACCTCTAGTGAAAGTCTCATTTATCAGTGAGACTTTAATTTATTAATAATAAATTAAAGTCTCACTGATGCAGGATTGTTGAGGATAGAGTGCAAAATCCTCCTGTACAGTAAGGATTCAGTGGTCTGAGCTGAGAAGGTGAGTCAGGAATTTGTTGAGGAGGGTGCTGAGCATCTCCCAGCCATGAAAATATTTTATTTTAGGAAAAGAACCAGAAAGGACTTGGATTAACCACTCACTGCCATATTTGCATTACTACTTTTTAAGTTTCCTTCTCAAAAAAAATGCTCACCAAAGCCTTGCAGTCGGAGGGTTCACTTCACCATTATTACAAAAGCATCAAAAGTAAGGAATCAAATATGGCACTGCTGTGCATATTTGTTCTGCACTTCAGTTCTGATCTTTTGTGAGAAATATTTTTATAACCAATTTAAAAGTGACAAAACACAAGAGCTTAAAAGCTGAACTTTCTTCAAAGGTGAACTCCAATGCTACAATATAAGTTGAATCAAGTCCAGAAATATGGTCAGATATTGCTTAAGTTATATATGAGATTTTCCATGGAGAAATCAGCAGTAACTCTATATATTTTGGGCTGTATAAAATTCTGAAGTGCTGCCTGTTGTGGTCTTGCCAGTTAGAATGTGCTGCTCTGTGATCACAATGCATGGTAAAAAGTCCTTCCCATGTCAGCATCAGAGTGAAGCTGTGTGTACAGGATGAGCAGAGTGTTTGATGAAAGCTCACCTCAAATGCTGGAGTTCCTTGACACCAGAATTCCTTTCCCTTCTGTAACAAATTCCTTTGCAGCCCACCAGGCTGGGGGCTCTTACAGAAATACAGCAGGCACTGGGAGGGCAGTGCCTATTTTAGATTTGCACCTAAAGCAAAGAACAGAAGTGGCCATGCCCTCCCAGATGGGCTCCTCTGGCTCTGTCCTCCTGTGGGTTTGTCACTGGGTTGTGCTCAGTGTTCCTTCCTCCTTCAGTAACCCTCAGTGTCCTGCTCTGTTCCAGGGAGATCTGGGCTCGCTTTTTAGCCTTTGAAAGTAACATTGGGGATCTGGCCAGCATCCTGAAGGTGGAGAAACGCAGGTTTACAGCCTTCAAGGAAGAGTATGAGGGCAAAGAAACAGCTCTGCTGGTGGACAGGTACAAGTTCATGGATCTGTACCCTTGCTCTGCCAGCGAGCTGAAGGCCCTTGGTTATAAGGTGAGTGGCTAAGAACACTTCAGTTCACTGGTGTTCTTCTCAATCCTAGGAATCTTGGGCAATTCCTTGTTTAGGACTTGCCTTATAGTCCTTCCCCTTGCTAGAAAAGCAGGTAAAATAGGCCTGTTCTTCCTGCTCCTCCTGGTCTCATTGGGCAGTAAAGGAGCCAGGACCATCAGTACCAGCTGCAGTTTTGGGTGTTCCTGGTTACCTCCCATCTTCCCATGGAGAGGTCAGTGTGTTAATGCCATCCCCTTGCAGCTACAGGCCTCCACTCCACATCTGGGCTCCTTCAAACACCAGAGTTCTGTGGGAAATTTGTAGGATCAGGTTACCTGGATGAAATATGGCTGGCTGTCCTTCTGCTCTGGGGTGGCAGAGCTCCCCTGACTTCAGTGGGAGCTGCCTCAAAGCCCACATGCTGCAGTGCCAGGGTTTGTTGGGAATGGCTGAGGGAGCACTGGTGCCTCTTTTTTCAGTTTTTGCTGCCATGTGGAGTTCAAAGTCCAGGCCAGACCCCTGTATCAGGTGGTCTCCTGTTTGGTTTCTAACCACATGTATTTTTACTGTTTCTGTCATTTAACGCTTTGGGGAATCATTAGAACAGAACAGGATGTTGGTTTACAATTTTTAAAGGCTGCCAGAGAAGCAGAAACAGCTGATTGCCATTTGCATGGACAGCAAGAAACCCTCAATCCATGGTTCTAAAGCAGTGCCTCAGCTTCCACTTACTTCTTACACAGAAAAATAATGTATGAAAAATACAGATGCCATCAAAGTTAACAAAGCAGCTGCATTGTTGACCATCACAGAGCTCTAAAATAATCTGATAGGTGGAAATCAGAGTCACATTGAGCCACTGAATACTTTTCTTTGAATGCAGTGGGGGCAAAGTTATTTTGAGGTTGGATGTGAGCTTACCAACAAGTACATTTTGCTAAGTGATTGCAGGGCAGTGTGCACCTAAGATGGTGCAGTCCTGCTGCTTGGAACATGCCAAAACATAATCCTGTTTGAACTGATGCTTTGCATGCCTGCTGACTGCCTTATGCTTTACTTCTTTTCCAGCTAAAGCAATCTAGGAATGAAATGAGGGAGAAATGATAGTTGTGAAGGCCTAGTGCTCTGCACCTGTTCACCTAAATCCTGTTAGCCTAAAAAAGGAGCCACTCCAAAATGACAAACGCACGTTCAGGAACAGAAACAAGTGTTTCCATTCCATCCCGTTGGGTCGCTGTAGGATTCAAATCTTTAATGAAACCATGCAAGTTTTGCCCAGATGGCCTTGTGAGAGGCTATCTGAGGTGATAATGAAGACAAAGTGAGAAAAAGCAACTGGTGCAGAGCGAGGTTTTGTTCTGTAATTGAAGCTAGCAGTGTGATCCTGCCAAGTTCACACTCTCTAATTGGCTTTCACAGGATGTCTCCCGTGCCAAGCTAGCAGCAATAATTCCAGACCCTGTGGTTGCACCTTCCATCGTGCCTGTTCTCAAGGATGAAGTAGACAGGAAACCTGAATATCCCAAACCAGACACGCAGCAGATGATTCCATTCCAGCCAAGACACTTAGCACGTAAGTCAGGCTTCGGGGAGTGGTTGTGTTTCACCTGTGGTGAGTTGGGAACCTGGCTGTTCAGCCTCATCAGAGGCTTTGCTGCTCCTCAGCCATCTAAACCTGTACTTAACTCTCAGGCTGTCATTTCACTGGCTTGCTAAAGGCACATGTGTTTTAATTAATGCCAAGGTCACATGGAAATAAGTACAAGGAGTTTGGGGTCTGGTAAATGGTAATAAGCTGTTACACACATCACAGAGCAGATGGCTGAGTGAACAGTGTGGAATTAGTAGAGGCAAAAGGGACAAGGTACTAATTATTTGTACCAAATAACAATGCAGTGCAAAAGCAGCTCTGGCCCAGCTGTCCTGCACTGGCTTCACCCAGCTTTTCTCCCCACAGCTCCAGGTTTACATCCTGTCCCAGGCGGGGTATTTCCTGTTCCACCAGCAGCTGTAGTTCTCATGAAGCTCCTGCCACCTCCTATTTGTTTTCAGGTTTGTTTTAAAGAGCTCTGAACATTTCAGAAAGCTGTGGAAGACATTCTGTCATGACAGAACCACAGTGTGTATCACTCTATTGAAAATAACCTTCTAAACTTTTTTTTTTTTCCTTTGGTAACAAATCAGGGTCCCTTTGTTCAAGTGGATGAGCTCATGGAGATATTCAGAAGATGCAAACTGCCAGACAGTAAGTTACTTGTCCTCTCTGGAGGCTGTGCTAGTGCTGCATGAGACTTGCTTTTACATATGGATATTTGTGTCTAAAACCCAGACCTCATTTGCAAATTGTAATTAGTGTTTGAGAGCAGAGGAGGTTGCACTGGAATCTGCATAGAGGTGTTTGCACTTTTACCTGCAGGGAGGCAACAAAAAGTCAAAAATCTGCACATCACCAGCTGCTCTTTAATATGTTGGTGGTATCAACTGAAAGAAAGAAATTAAGATTTTGAGAATACCCTTTAAAGGCAGCGTTTCCAGCAGCATTGCAGCTGCAACATGAAATTCCAAATCTGCAGCTTGGTGAGGGATAACTCTGAGTGCACGTTGTTGAGCCCCTGCAAAGAGGGGAAGGAGGGTTCTGGAACAGAGAGACAGCACAGATCCTACAGCAGATGATAATATGCCACTCCTCATGCTCCTTGTTTGAGGAAAAAAAAATATCACAGAGAAAGAACTGTAGGATTTAATTTCTTCGAGTGAAACTAAAATATCTATTTAAATTATACAGGGTATTTTTGAGGCTTCCTCTGTTGAGAAGCAGAAACTGACTTGCTGTGCAGCCTCTGGTGAATCATGAACTAGTTACCCTGATTCCCAAAAGGCCTTCCTGTTTTATTGCAGCTCTCAAATGACCTCAATTCCTGTGTAAAGGGAGGGGAGGGCTCCAGCTGGAGCAGCAGCATTTCCTCTCTAACCAGTGCTCAGAGTTTCACACAGCCAAGGCTTAATATTTGTACAAGAGGGCAGGAGAAGTGTCTGATGCTGCAGAAGTGTCCCCAGGGTGTGTGTGGGTGTCCCTGCTGGGTGCTGGGCAGGCTCTGGGCTCCCCCTGAGTGCTCTGTGTGTGTCTTTCCCTGAAGCTGTTGACGAAGCCGTGCGGATAATCACGGGCGGCCTGCCCGAGATAGCTGTGGAGGGCAATGGACCTGTGGAAAACAACACCATTCTCAACAAGGCTGTGAAGAGATCACATGAGGATTCTGATGATGATGAGGAGAAAGGATCTGTAGTTCCCCCTGTACATGACATTTACAGAGCGCGGCAGCAAAAGAGAATCCGGTGAAACGAGTTTGGAGTTCTGCTGTGACGGACAAAGACTTGCATTGAACCAGTCTCTTAAAAGTCAAGCATTTAAAAGGGACAGCTGCAAACAAAAAAATCCTTGAACATGGTTTTGTTACTGTGGTGCCTCTTCTCCCATATGGTTCTTGATCTGAAAACAGCCCGAACAACCTTAGAATGTGCTCTGAACAAAACTCGGTTTTCAAAACCAAAAGTGCAAAATGTCAAAACTGTATTTTGTTCTTCGAGGGTGTACACATCTACCACTTGAACTCTTGTGGGTTTTCAACAGTTTTATTTTAAAAACTGGATGGCTTATACTTGTGAAGCATTTTTAATTCACATTTTCTGGAAAACAGTTGTTCTCAGTTTGTTCATGTAGTGTCCTGCCTTATTGTTCGTTTTTATTTATGGCAGAATGTAAGGAATCTGTTTTGTAGTTGAAAATTTAAAAATAAAACGACAACAAAAGACCATTCCTTTAAAATAAAAGGATAGCCATAACATCATGCCTCATTCTGGTTTTATTCAAACACAACAAGGTACTTCTTAAATATTACTCAGCCACTTCAAAAGCAATGCTAATTATACCGTCACAGGAAATTGATCAGAGCATACATATTAGAATGGAGCTTGCTTTCCATTTTCTAGAGGATACAGCACACTTTGGCTTGTAATTCCAGGACTGTTTGAAGAAGACAGCATTGTAAGACTAACTCAGTTCAGTGCGGGTAATCCAGGAGCACTGGCTCACACAGCCTGGTCCTGGATACCTGCACTGCTCTTCCACATAATGCACAAAGCTAAATGTTAATAATCAGCTACATCCTTGCACTTATCTTCAAACAAGCTAAAGAAACACTATGTGAGCTTTCCAAGCAGCTTCTATGCCTACTTCAGCTTTTAACTTGGAATTGGCTGTGATAAGATTGACTCTGATTAGATCCTAAGAAGCCCTTGGACTAGAGGGCAGTCAGAGCCTGGGGCAGATGGAGCCATTCCCAGCACAGCACAGCTGCCCCAGGAGATGGGGCTGGCCTTGGCCATCCTGGAATGTCCTCCTTGCTTTGCCACTCAATTGCAGCTCCCTGTTTCTTTAGAGAGGGTGTAGAGATGTTTGTCACACACTCTCCTTAAATAGAACAACCTGGGAGAATCATTACCTTGCACTTGTGGGAAGTTAGTGCAGTTCCTTTAGGTCCTTCCTGGTGAAAGGCCCCCAGCACCTGTGCCAGGGGCATTTGTTCCTTTGTGTGGGCCCTGGAGGTGAGAGTGGAGCCAGGTGAGTGCTGCACTCTGTTCCCTCTTTCTAGGATCTTCCTGCTACACAAAGGCTTACGATCAAACCCATCCTGTGAGGAGAGCTGGCATTCCCTGTGTGGGCCTGACCCCTGAATCCCAGCCCTGGGAGCAGCCATCTCCTCAGTCAGGGTTTTATCCATTGCTAGAGCAGTGCCCTGCACCCTGCCATCAGCCACACACCTTTCAAGGGCTTCTCTTTGTCCCACCATGATGCTCCTCCCCACACCCTCGAGCTCACCCTGTGCCTCCAAAGGCAGCTCCTAGGCAGGACTAATGATAAAACAACAGCAGCAACTCCTAAGCTGTGCAGCTCTCATTCAGGAGAATGGAAACAGCTGTGCCTGGTTCTCTGTCCTGGTGCCATCAGCTCCAGCAGTGAGGGCTCTGGTAGCTCACTGAGGGAGGTGGTGCAGCTGCAGAGCTTCAGGCTGTGATGGGAGCAGAGCCTGCTCTAATAGCAAAGCCCAGCAAGCTGAGGCAGCAGCCTTGAAGGCCTCTGTAGAATCCTTTGCTGATCCAAACAGTGAAATAGATCCTACTCAGAACCCTTTTCTTCTGGCTAACCAACCTCATTTTTGAGTCCTCAAAGGAGGATTCAAAGACGGACGTTCATTTGGCCAAGAGAAAAATCCCTTGTCTGAGCTGATGAACTCTCACAGGGCTTTTCCCTTGGGGAAGGGGCTTTGTAATGCATGAGAAAAGATTTGGTTTAGAGTTGCATAGGCTAATATAGAAAAAAAAGGTCTTATTTCTCCCATCCCCCTCCAAACACAAAGTTGGTGCAGCTTTATCCACATTGATTCAAAGGAAACTGGAAAGGGAAGCATCAACAGTGGATCATAATCAAGTTCTGTTTGGCTGATTCCTAAATTAACCTGCCTGCTGGCAATACAAGGGCCCTTCATTCATTTATTTCACCTACCTTGTTGTTTTTTTTAAAGACAGCACGTTCTGGTTTGGACAACCTCATCCTTGGGCCACTTACTGTGAGTAACTACAAACTTGGCTCTCACAAAACCATCAAATATTGATTACTGAAATACACAGTTGTGCTCAACCAGAGGAAAATTTCACTTACCTCCCAGCTGAGCCTGAGATTGCAATGTAAGATCACTGGGCACTTCTCCTCTCTACAACATGTAGCTTATTAAATTCGAGACCTACAAATATTCTAAGTTTCAAGAACACATCTAGAAAGTGAAAAAATCTACTAAAATATTCCCTGTATATTCAAACTAATATCAAACCATTCACCCCTCACAGTACATTAAAATCACTGATACTGCCCACAGTGCCCTGCACATGACATTTTTGAAGACATGATTGAATATGCAACCATCCCCTGTTGTAGTTTTTAAAAAAGCCCAAAATTTTCAACCTAAAGTTTCACGCACTTTAAATCCACCTTCTGCAAATGAGAATTTACTTTAAAATTAGTATTTCACCTAAAAAGGAGTAAATTACTAGCAAAAGAAAAGAAGGTAAGAAATGCCACTTTTATCAAAATGTTTTAGCTCTGCCCTTTCTGAAATCTTTACAAGATATAAATACAGCTGCAATCTATAAGATTGCCACCTCTGGGAGTACTGTACATAGCAGAGGACAGTTACCCAATAACCAGAAAATTTGCTACAAAAATATATTATGTTTTGTAACATCTGCAGGTAAACAGCAAAAAAATGCTATTAAAAATGCAGTAAAATACAGAAAAAAACTACCATACTCACCATAATGTTACAGTAAAGTGCTGTTTGGCTTGGTGTTTTGTCTGGTAAAGTTCACCTTTAGAATTTTAACTTAATTAATTCTTTAAAGTAAGAATTTTTAAAAAAAAAAAAAAACCAAATCACCCCTTCTGGGAAGAACCATTGCTAATCAGCTCTGGATAAATTAAAGTAAGTTCACTGTAAATTAAGAGTTAAATGCCCTGAAATGAGCCACTTAAATACAAAGTTTGGTTCTTAAACTTGCCCTACCTATCACCAGCTCAAAAATCTAAAAATTGCAGCCAGAAAACTCCTATGATATCCCCTTCCCCAGGTTGCATAATTATATTAGAAATGCATCTCTCCTCTTTTAGCTCAGAACCCTTTTGGCATCTCCTCTGTTTCCCTCACCAGTCAGCACTCGTGGGTTAAAGGAACCAGTATTTACACGGAAAGCTCTTTTCCTAGACAAATATTGGTACAAGTTTTATTTAATAGCTGACAATACTGTAGTGATAGCACACAGACTGGTTTTATGATTCTTCTGACTTCCCTACAATTTGGGATTCTCCCTTAGTCAGTATTTTGCCAAGGACTGCATCATAGTAAGGGCTGAAGACCATTCTGTTGTAGTTGACAAGACGAATGTACTTGGCAGCAATCTCCTCCAGCTCCCTCTGAATGGGGCCTAATCCTCCAGGAATGGCAGGCAATGATTTCTGGTGACCGGATGCAAGATAATTCTCCAGAAACTTTTGAATTCGAGAATCTGGAAAAAAAAAAGGGGGTTGGTTTGTTTGCAGAAGAGATGGTGAATTAGAAACAGCATCACCTCATGTGAAATGCAGCAAGCCTGAAGGTGGCCAGCAATTGGAAAGACAAGATGGAAACAACGTGGAAACAGCAGGGAGAGAGGAGCCCTGCACATCCCCCAGCCCCAGCTCCACAGGCAGAGCAGAGCACTCTCCAGACCCACCTATGAGCTTGGAGATGGAGTTGTCTGGGCTGCCCACTGCCTGGATCTGCCCCTTCAGCACAGCCTCCCTCTCAGCTGAGAACGGGGTAAAGCCATGCTGGGAAAGGCAGCTGTTCACCTCAGCACACACCTTCTCACCCACGGTGGCCAGGGATTCCTTCAGGTTGAAGGAGCTACAAAACATGAGGTACAGCACAACTGTATTAGTTACTCACTGTTTTCCCACTTTTTAAAAATAAATCGTTCAATTAGAGTTGCCTTACTTAGCAAATGTAGCGGGAAAAGCACAATGCAGATAAAGGCAATTTTAAAGATTAATCCAATTATATACACATGAAAAATAAAGCTGAGATCTAAAGCAAGGAAGTAGGAGAACATTCAAGACTTAAAACCTGAACAATCCATACACATAAGAGCTGACTTTCTGCCTGAGGACAGCTCTGACTAGAGCAAAACCTGGAGGTGTAATCACTGACTCTGCAGGCAGCTCACTGTGCCTCTTCCAAGTGGGAAACAAATCTTGCTCCCCTGTAAAAAAGCTTCCATGGAATGAACTTCACTAGCTCCATATTTTTATCTCCCAGGTTTTTGGGGAGCCTGGCCCAAACTCTGAGCAGGGGCAGCTGCTGGCACTCTCCTGTGCCAGCCTGGCACCATGAAAAACACCAAGTTTGTACAAACCATGAAAGAGCAGATTAAGGAAAGACGGCTCTGTGTGAGTTAGCTGAAGAAAAGCTGGACTCATAGAAAGATTGCATTTCCTGCAGTCCCCAGCCAGAAAGTGGCTGAAGCTGATCATTTCCCAGGGTGCCAGGAGAGCTCCTGCAGCTGCCCTGAGAGCAGGAGTGCTGTACTCACGGGAGATGCATCCCTGTCAGCAGCACCTTGACGATGGTTTTGATCCTCTCTGCAAAGCCAGGCACGTCGATGAGAGCCGGGCCTGCTGCACTGAAGGTGACCAGCAGCACTGTCCCCACCAGCAGCAGCTGCTCCAGCTCCAGCTGCATCTCCAGGAAGCGTGTCTGGTCCATCAGCAGCGTCTGCAGGGAGCCAGCAGAGCAGGGAGTCAGAGAAGGGTCAGCAAAGGGCCAGGGAACAGCAGGCCAGCACCAGGAGCACAGTGAGAGCACTGGCTCCTCTGCCCCAGCTAAGCAGCTCTCAGCACTGAGACAAGTTAGAGCTGCCCCATCTCCCAGTCACACATCAATGGTTTAGCACTGTACGTGTTGCCAGGCTACAAACCCCAACAGCTTCTGCTGTGTGCTGGGAATGGAGGAGTGCAAGAAGCACAGAACCAATTTTCCTGTTAAATACCTACTTCTGGAAAAGGCCTGTTCACGTGATCCCACTTGAGAAGCTTCAGATAGGCCTGATTTTGTACAGCAGTGAAGCACAAGGCAGAAGCTCCACCAGTGGCACCATCATTACAGTGGGGAGGCAACGTTTCATGTCCCAGCTTTGCAAGATCATCTGCTGCTTCTTGCAACCACTTTGTGACAAGGTCTAAAGAATCTGGAAGAGCAGGGAAAAAGACTCTTGTTGAGAAAATTCCTTTTCACAGTTAGGTTCTTCCAGCAATAATTTCCAAACAATCCCATTAGTTACTATGACTAATGCCCATGATTTCAGGTATGACATGCATTTCATTTATTGCATCAAGCAGAACGTCTAAAACAAAACCACACAGCTACAGGAAATCAGAGGTGAGATGATGCTGGGTAATCATGCCCTACACTGTACTGAAATTAAACTGAATGTAGCAAGGGCACAGCTATTGCTCTGGCAGACTTTTTCCAACCAGTTTTGGGGCACAAGCCCCAAAATGTCATTTACCATACGAATTCTAGAACTTATGAAAATATCTGAGTTCTTTTCATGATCTACAAGCAAAGACACGCAGTTTACTGGGAGGTCAGGGGGGAAGAAAGAAAGGAACAAAGTCATACTTGGCTGTTTCTCAAGAAACTCCTGAAACTTCTTTCTTTCATATTCAGCAGACTGCTGCATTAATTTTGGCCTAATACTACTGACAGCGAAGTTTGCCATATCCATTTTCATTAGGTCTAATACAGAGAAAATTGCTCTAAACAAACAAACAGAAAAAGTTATTCAAGGCTGCAGATGTTTCAGAGGTGCTGTTTACAAGATTTATTACAGGCTGTCTAAAGAAAGAGCAAAAACATGCATGGGAAACAGTAACAGCTTAACAACTTCAGAGCATGAGACAGAAAAAGCTGGAGCAAGCATGTACATGCATGCATGTGCCTCTTCCAAGTGGGAAACAAATCTTGCTCTCCTGTAAAAAAGCTTCCATGGAATGAAGTTCACTAGCTCCACAGATTTTATCTCCCAGGAGGTGCAGTATTGTATATGAAAAGATATCTGGGTTTCCTTGCATGCCATGGCTGTTGGCAGCCTGGAAAGCCAAACTCAGTGGGAAGTGAATAATCAGACCCAAGGGGCAAAAAAGAAAAAACAAACAAACAAACAAACACCAAAGAAAAACACCTTCATTTCAAAGCAACCTAATTCCTGCTGGCAATATTTCTGCCAAGTCAATCTTGAACTCCTGGAAGCTTTTCAAATTAGAAAACAGCAAGGTTAATGAAGCCTCTCCCAACTACTGAGACCTTGAGCTGCTCCATGAGAACGTGGTGGCAAAGCAGAAGCCTGGATGCTCCAGATGAGGAACACACACTGCCTTTGGAACTGACAGGGAATTCCACAGGGACTGGGGTAGAGAGAGCTCCAACTGGGAGGAAAGGACAAACTGGCTGGAAACCAGTAATGCTTTTCCCCTAAGCCCCTGTGTGCTTTTTTCACCTACTGCTGTTGACATTCAATTCTGATACAAACTGATTATTCATCTGCTACCTTACAGCTTATTTGCATTTGACATTTAAGCAAATGTCCTTCAGTGCCATGCAGGAGCCAGACAAATCCTCCAAGTCACCAGATCAGAGATGGCCCTTGTTAATGACCCCTGGAGCATCCCTCCCCTTCACACCCACAGCTGTATCTTTTTTCCTATTACTCTTTTCTTTCTAGGAGTTTCAAGTTGCCCCCTCCACTTCTAAAATTATTTAAGGGACTCAGAACATGACTAATAAATACATTTCAGTACCTGAAAAGAGGAACTATTTCATTAATATCTTTCAGTTTCTTAATGTCTTCATCTCGAGCTGGAGCACAAAGAGTCCCCATCATGCCAATAACAAATTTGACCAACTTAGAAATGTCAAGGGCCCCATTCTCTGCCTCCTGTTTTATCAAATCCAGGTCAAGAACTTCTGTAATCTGGCTTCTCAGTCTAGTGTGACCAGGCAACAAGAATGACAGAAGACTCTGAAATGCAAAGTTAACAGTGCATTAGTCAAAGACTACAAGGATCCAAACAGTTACTGAACCACCTCTCACAGAATTACAGAATCATAAAATGGTTTGGGTCAGGAGAGACCTTAAAGACCACCTAGTTCCAAAAGCCTGCCAGGGGCAGGGTCACTCCCCACCAAACCAGTTTGCTTAATGCCCCATCCAACCTGGGGGCATTCTCATCTAAACAATAAATAATTGATTTTTTTATTTTTACACCAACCACTCCCCAAGTCCAAGTGTTTCACCTGACACTGTGTGATGCTGAAGTTACTGAGTGGCAAACCCTCTGTGGCACAGAATGAACTTCAGACTGTTGTGCTTGGTTTTATCAGCCCAGGGTTGGAGCATCTCACTGATTCCATGACTAATACCAGTGCCATTACATGAAGGAAGCTTGTAATTATGGAACTGGTATTGTTTACCTGTTAATCACCTTACATGGTTTTTACATTTGGTTTTATATTCAAATTTCTCCTCTAGGATTATACAGCTTGTATATGTTCACAGTGATACAGTAATGAAAAAGAACAAGAGCATTGTTTATGAAAAGCCAAACTCCAGCCACTTTTGCTCATTCATATCAGTGCAGCTACTCAGATTCAATCATTTCCCTTCATATCACACCATCTTACCTCTTTAATTTCTCCCAATAACTTAATTGCATGATCATATGTTGGGGGATCTTCCTTCAGCTGAGCTTCCAGACAATCCCAGAAAGCTTTATGCACAATATCTCTGACTTTCTTCTCTAAGCTGTGAATAAACATGTTCAAAAGAATGATATTGGTCTCTTCACCACCTTACAAAGATAACCTGCAGCTCCTGAAGCCCAGCATGTCATAAAATCAATATAATGTGGTAGTAATGATGTGATGATTAACAGAGATCCATCATTTAAAGTTACTCAGAAAAGCAGGAAAAACTGGACACAGGATTTGGAATGGTTTATGTTTAATACAAGGTTAAACACCAGCAAAGGTGGCCACAAAGTAAAACCTTTCAAAGTATTTATCACATGCTGCATCTAGAAAACTGGACCAAAACAAAAAGAGCAAAAATTGCATTTTGTCTTCAAAAGACCAGTATTCATGTTCCTTTTAAAGGCCCCACTAAGTAAAATCAATTCAGTAGTAAACCTAACAGAAATGAAGTGACTTCCCTGACACAAAATCTTGGGTTTCACTATGTAAGTACTGCACCTACTCTGAGATAAGGGCCCAGATCAGTCTGTATTCAAAAAATAAATGAATTCCACTGCTTCAGTACCAATTCCTAATTCAAAATAGTGACAGTTCCTGCTCACACCAGGTGTAACTTCATCACTGGCCCCAGTGGAGAGCAAGTTCCCCCCATGAAATAAGCACTCCCTGTCCCAAATCAAGGCAGGAGGCTGTCAGCCACACCTCACTGTGTGTGTGAGAGGGAAAAACAGAAGATGAAGCTTCCTCTGCTCTCCCTCTCCCCTCTCAGCAGGGCACACAATTACTGCAGACTCACACAGACAAGGAAAGGCTTCCAACTTGAAAGTAGCAACCTAATAAAACACAGGAATCTCTGTCTAAAATATGCCTGAAGAAACAGACAGGAAAAGCTAAAATTACCAGTTTCCTCTTACTCCCACAGGCAATGAAAGCTCAAAAATTGCTAAAAGCACCACCTACATCTGCAGCCAGCCTGGGCTTCTGGGGAGGCTGCAGCCTCTGGGTCCTGGGACAAGGGGACACAACAGAAACCACAGCACTCTGGGGTTTGCACCACACATCTCCAATCGATCCAGGAGGTTCTCCTTTCACACACACACATCTGGGGAAGCAGAACTGCACACTTACCACCTTCTTCTATTCTTTCCTACTTCCTCCACCAGCCAGAGCCTTTACCTGAACCCCCAGAGCTGCTCTGCAGTTTCTACAAACACAGTTTTATTAGTATTTGGTACCAACCTTACCTGTGTTCTGGCAGTTCAGCTGGCTTTATCTGGAAGTCTCCATTCACCACAATTTCATGTGCCAGTGCCATGTTGGTGACTCCCTTGGCTGTCTCCATGAGCTCTTCTATGGACACAGGCCGAGAGGGACTGGCTGCAACACCAATGACACTGTCAGACAGCTCGCAGCAAAAGCTGCAGAAAAACTCTTTTGGACCCTTTCCACCTCACTGACAGCACACAGGGTCAAATGACAGCATCAGCTGAAGATTTTCCTCCTTTCCTTCCCTTCCTTTCCCATCTGGTGGATGGCACAAGTTTGGAGTATTTCAAAAACCCAAGGAGTGGATCTCAGTTGATATTCTGGGCTCAATATGACAATTGCTTCTATCAAGCTCTTTTAAAAACCACCTCCAAACAAAACCCCCCACACAAACCAATACTTCTTTAGGATGGCTTTAATAGCACCTTGGAATCTTTCTCCATGTTGCAGGAAGAAATAATTACAAACAGCACCATTTTCACCATACTAATTCCACAAGCATTGTGCAGATATTGCCACTTCAGTTTCACATTTTTCAAGGAAGTGATTTCATCATTAAAGCAGTCAACAAACAATCACCATCACTGTTAAGCAGCAGCACACCAGTAGCTAATTATTCTCACTACTTCCAATGCAAATGGCACTCCTCCAAACTCTTTTTTTTTTTCCCCCAGAGGCCATTACTCAAACAACAGAGAACAGCAGCACCAATGCTGAAGAGCTGTTCCCCTGGCAGGCATTTGGGAGTGAGCAGGATGGGCCAGCAGCCTCAGACTGGGTGACAGGGCTGGTGGATGATGGATCCATTCCATTCTGTACTTCATTCACTTCAGCTACAGGCATGGGAGCAACACATTAATCCCAAAAGTGAAAGAAACCAAGCAGGCATCTCCATTTCTCCCTGAGAAATGTTTCAGGCAAACTGTGACCATCTCATTTGATAATCCATGTCGATTGGACTTCAGTGATTCCACAGAAAAGTCTTTCAAAAGGAAGTGTCCATCACTTGTCTGCCATGCAGAGCTTTTCTGAGTTCATACAGCTGGGTTCCAATGTGCTTGTTTTTCATCAATGTCTTGCTCTTTTCATGCTGCCCTCCTAAATCCTGATTTCCTTCTGCTTGGAGCTGAACCTTGCACAGTGACTCTGGGAACACAGCAAGGACTGACAGTCTGAGAAGAACCAGCAGACAGCAAAGCTCACAGTGCTCTTGTCCAAGCACCAAATGACTTCACTCCAGCACTGGGGGCTCTAAGAGCAAAGGCTCTTCCACTGGCCAAAGATTGCTCCTAAATCACATCACTTCATTCTCATAGCTGCTCCCTTGCAGGAGGGAAGGGCTGGAGATCAAACCTCCTCTTTGTGGTACAGGGCAGTGCTGGACTGTGCCCTGCCTTTTCCTTCCACGTGTTGAGGGCCTCTCTCCACACAAACACCCCATTCCCCACCAGGCAACCAGCAAGGCATGGGAACAGAAACTCCCTCAGAACATCTCTGACTAACACCACACTGAACACAACCAAAAAGCAAAAAGAATGCAACAAACAAAATGTTACTCCCTACAGAAATACAGAAGCCTGAGCACTTCTGCTTCTTTGAATTGAATCCCTGGAGCCAAAAAACTTCCCCTTGGTTTTATCTACAGATTTGCCAGACATATTGGCTCCCACATTGCATCCAAGACCTTCATGTTAAAAGCAGAATGGCAAAGAAAATATGCCTTAGAAAAAACATGCAGTCCTGCTTATATGGAAGTAGCACTAGGATTAAATATACAACTTTCCATCTATCCTGTGAGGGGGCTGACAGGACATCCCTTTGTTGATAACAGCCTTTTCTGCCCTGCCCTGGCAACAGGGGCTGCAGCAATGATAAGGCAAACAGCAGAGTAGGTTTAGCTGGAACACTCTGGGGTGGCGTTCATCCATTCCAAGAGCACAAACTCACCTGGATATTTAGGATATATCACCAGGATATTTAGAATACATGTGATTCAGAGCAATGTGGTCATTGTGTACAATTAAGAAAACGTACACACTGTGTGCACAATTAGGGAGATGAAAAGAAAACGGGGAGGAAAGTGTTACAGTTTCAAGGCATAACATCAGGAGTCCCACTGTATTTAACTGCAAGCACAGAATGCTATCAAACACCAGGATTGCCCCCACCAACAATTAGAGAATTTAGGGTTTTCTGGTGCATTTCATAAAGCAGTTTTGCTTACACTTGGGTGTATCATCCCTGTGGCACCCTGGAGCACTCTGTCGAATCCTTTTCCGGCCAGACTGATCCGAGTTGTCCAAGCTCTCCTCCTCATCCTCCTCCAAAGCATTCAGCTTCTCTTCACTGGAATTTAGCTCGTCAGGATTCTGAGACATTTTCAGTTGGTTCTTTACAAAAAGAAAAAGTAGGAAAAAGGGAATGAATAAGCATTTTCTGACATGGCTGAGAGGGTAAACATTACCAAGAGTCCTCTTGATTAAGACAAAAAATTAAGAATGAAAGAATTCTTATGAGGAGTTATGTCATCCCCATAATGGCAGGGGACCTGGACTCAGTGACTCACTTCCCATCTCCCACAAAATGGGATGCTTTCAACACAGCTACCATTGATTTTATCTGCAGTCCTAGTCAATTCTCAAAAATCTCAAACTGTTCCCTTGCCATAATGATACAGAGAGAGAAAAATATACTGTTTTCTTTCCTAGCACTGCTTTTGAGAGAACAACAAAAATCACCTTCAGAACAACGCCACAAACATGTTTTACAAAAGATGATGAGGCAACATTTCCTTACTACACAGCAATAAATCTTCCTGAACATAACATATCCCTGAACTATGGTCTGCCCCAACTGCTCACACCTTAAAAACTTCCCTCTGAGCCATCCAAAAGCATTAAGAAGCAGCAAAAGAACAAGAAAGAAATTATTATAAAATTCTATTCCCATATTTTCATTATATTCAAGAGTCCTGATTTATGCATAAAACATCACAGTTGTTTAGGTTTTTTAATTAAGACAGTAAAGAATAGCTTTTGTAATTAAAATCTTGGTTTATGAGACATTACATATTAAAGGATTTTTATATCACATTGCAGACACCTGCAGGGCCCCCAAAGTTACACTGAAAAAATGACCACAGAAAACCAAGTCTCACTTGGTTCCTTATCTTCACTTACTTCATTCTCAGATTTCCCTATCAAGAATGTCATTTCTACATCCACCACTGAAAACTATCACACAGGAAGCTGCTGCTCAGCCTTTCATTTCACAGAAATCTCTCAGAGAGCATATGATGTCTCTAAATTAAATAACTTAGATGTTCTGTGAAGTGGGAGTCCGGAAGAGCCTGCTTTCAAAATAAAAAGAAAGCTCCTGGAAAAATAACAACTTCCTTTTTCTGCTAGTACATCACCATCTCCACTTTCACATTTTGAAATAAACCAAAAAAACTCAGCAACAGAAAGTCTACAGAGGCACCTCACAGCCACTGAGAGAAAACACAGCATCAAAAACTACCCTGGAGAGGATGCAGCAGGAAGCAAGCAACAGTGCAAAAATATAAAATGCAGCACTGAGATTGATTTCCATACAACAGCTGTAATAACCAACCCTGCTCCACCAGGGCTTAGACTGATTGCACAATGTGATTCCAGGACAGCTGGAAAGCTCAGGGCATGTAAGGAACAGCTTTCTCTACAGCAATGACTCAGGATCATCATCTTGCTCGGTGCCTGAGAGACAACAGCATGCAACACATTGCCCACAGCACTGTGCCATTGCTATTTTAGAAGAGAAAACAGCATGAGGAGCTTGGGATGAATAACACAGGAGAGTTATTGGCACACAGGTACTGTCAGACTCACTCCAGCTCCAGATGGAGGATGAGGAGCTCTGGTAATAAAAGGGCTGCTCACAGAAAAGAGCAGAGCAACCACTGCAATATAAAATATAAAATATAAAATATAAAATATAAAATATATATAAAATAGCACTGGTTAAAGAGAGAGAGAGACCTGTTGTTGAATTTGGCTAGGATAAAAGCATTATCATAAAGGTTTCCACACTCATTCCAGACTGGATGGTCGTTCTTCCCATCCATTCTCTTCCACAAAGCATCCCCTGAAGTCAAATCTGAACCACAAAGATGACTCAACCAAGCCCCACTACAGTCTTTAATGCACACAACAGCTCCCAGTGCCTTGCAATCTCTCACTGCACTTTATCCTCACTACCCTGAGAAAAGCAGAGAAAAACAATAAATCTCACAGAGGGGAAACTGAGGTTTGAGTTCAGCTGCTTGAGGACTCACAGAAGATAAATGACAGGGACAAGATCATCAGTGTGATGATTCCTGGCCCCTGCTCTGCCCAGCAGGCCATCATTCCTACCATGCAGACTACACCCTGAAGTGTTACCTTCCAGAAAATGGCAGCTCGAGAGCCACGGCTTCCAACCCAGCCCAAATTTCATTTAATTAGCATTTGTTTAAAAAAAAATCCTATTTCAGCTATGGAGGGCAGGTATTAGAACTCCTGGGCCATTCTCCCAAATGACTGCTCAGCAGATGATGTAAACAGGCACACTTGTTGGTTTAGTTGTTTAGTTTGCAATAGTCTGCTCTTTTCTGATGGATTACTGCTATTATTGCCAGAACACATCTAGAACATATCCTCTTTCCACGGGGTAAATAAGCTTGACAATACCTCTTCCAGAAGCATGACCGTCATCCCTCCTTTCACAGAAACAATCCCAACTCCTAACAGAGCAAACTCTACTTCTTGCCACTTCCCTCGCGTTTATTTGTAATGAGAACAGAAACGCGAGGAGAAAAACGCAACAAATTAAAATCTAAATGAAACATTTTCCACAGCTTCATTTCATTAGAGCTCCTCAAACCACGTGATGGGCACCTGCACGAAACAAACCTGCCTTAAAGCACACACAGGGTGGGCACTAAATAAAATAAACTTCACTGTGCTGCCTTAGAGCGCACAGAGGGTTGGCATGAAATAAACTTCACTGTGCTGCCCTGGAGCACACACAGGGTGGGCACTAAATAAAATAAACTTCACTGTGCTGCCTTGGAGAACACAGAGGGTGGGCATGAAATAAACTTCACTGTGCTGCCCTGGAGCAAACACAGGGTGGGCACTAAATAAAATAAACCTCACTGTGCTGCCCTGGAGCACACACACAGGGTTGGAGCAGCAGCTCCCGGCTCCCAGCGCTGTCCCCGCCGTCTGAGGCAGCCCTGAGCCCGGCCCAGCACTCCCGGCTCTTTCCCGAGGCGCTGAACTCTTCCCTTCCTCTGTTCCCCTGCCACACCACAGCTGATTTCCCTCATAACCCGCTAGCAGGCAAGCCTCAGCCTGTCCGCCGTCCCACTTGAAGGGAAGCTGTGGAATCCCGCTGTTTCCTCCGCTGCCGGTTCCGTGTGAGGCCCAGCCCGTCCATCCCTACCGGCAGCTCACACGGCACCGTCCCCATCCCCACCGGCCCTGCAGCAGCGCCGCTGCTCCCACCACGTTTTCCCTTCGGAAGGCCCGGGAGCCCCGGGCTTCATCAATGGGCGAAGGGGGAGAACGAGCCCGGGGGTCCGTGGGTTGCCGGGCCGAACGGGGGAGAGGCGGTGCTGGGGCCGAGCCCGCCCGGGGCCCCGGCGCTGCGCTGCCCGGCCGGGCCCGGAGCCTCCGCGCCGCCCGCTCGGCGCCGCCGGGCCCGGGCCCCGCCGCCGCCCCCGGCCCTGCCGCCGCCCCCCTCAGCCCTGGGCCGCCCTCCGCCCCAGGCCGCCCCGCCTTACCGCCCTCGGAGCAGCCGCCGCGGCCGCCGGCTCGGACGGGCCCGGCCCCTCCTGCGGCCGCGGAGCGGGGCTGGGCCGGCGCCGCAGCCCCAGCGCTGGGCGGGCCGCGGCGGCTGCGGGGCGGAGCGAGGGCCCCGCGGCGGAGCGGCTGAGGGGCCGCTGCCCGGCGCCGGGGCTGCCGTGTGGGGAGCGGGGCCCGAGCCCAGCAGAGCCCCGCGCTGCCCGACAGCGATGGGTGAATGGATAGATCGGGGTCTGCCCCACCACGCTGCGCTGGTTCAGATCAAACCCCCAGCAACCCGCGAACGCGGTCCTGGATTGTCCTTGCTGTCCTTACACGTGTCACGGAGTGACCGCCAGTTCCTCCACAGAGGAGTCTGCGGCACTCAGATTCCCTAAACCAGCCCGAAAAGAGCAAGGGGCGTGCTGACCCTGCCCTGTGCCCACCTCTGAGTGCCCCGGGGCTGATTTTCCGTAGCCCGAGCCAGCCTGGCACCGCGGCCAGCCCAGAGAACCGAGACTGCAGCAGGCGGTGCCCACCGGCAGCAGCTCAGTCCCCCGACAGGAATCTCATCCTCCTGACCGAGATGTTACAGCAGGCAGCAGGTGGAAAAGGGAAAATACTTCTGCTGAAGAGCAAACCAATCCAACACCACCACTAAGTTAGGATTTCCACTCCCACATTTTAAAGGCAATTTTTCTGAGGAAGTGCATTCATAATAAAACCCTTTCAGTTAAAACTAAGAACTATAAGGGCTTGTGCTTCCCTGCTAGGTTTCAGGAACTGATTATTTTTAGAAGTCCTTTGTAATTAACCAGAAGAAGCTTTTGACATTTTTGCCTTCCATCCCCCATCAGGACACAGTAAAACATTGTCCTGTTGCACACCAAGTCCTTCAGCTCCATTTCAGAGAAACCCTCTGGCCCCTGGCAGCAGACACCAGTAATCACTGAAGCATGAGTTAGTGAGACATGAGAGTCTGACACAAGATGATGCTTTTTAAGAACAGCTCACCACATGTGACTGTAACAGTTATCACTACTTTGTTATCATCATTAAATTAGGTTTTGCTCCTAAATAAAAGAACAGAGCTCAACACTTTAAACTGAACAAAACTTGGTTGATATTTTTTTTTCCCCCAACAGCAGCTGTAATGAAGTTTTGGTGATATCATTCCAAAGTTAACTCCACAAGAGTCAAAATTAGATAACTGATCATGTTAGATATATATATATATATATATATATATATATGCATGTGATTGCAGTTGCCCAAGTTGCAAATCTTGGTATTTCCACTCTAGACCAGCCATGAAGAAAAAATGCCACAGGCCCTTCATTTGCTCCAGCACTTTTCTAATTACAGCTGGTGCCATCAGTAAGAGTTACAGACAGAGCAAAGCCCTGCAGGGATGAAGATAACCAGCCACTGACAGCACATCCTGTGGCAACCAAAGCCAAGCTGACTTAAAAATCCAGACTGTCTTCACCACCCCAGGAGAGCCAGTTCCTCACTGTGGTGCCATTTGAGCTTAAAACAGCACAGCAAGTCAGCACACACATGGGTTAGTTGGCTGGCAAGCCTGAACAAAAGCTGTGCAGTATCAAGCAGAACATGTTTTTTAGCTCTCTTTTTCAGCACACAGCAAGTCAAAGATCAATGTTATGTAATACATAATCTAAGGCAAATTAAGGGAAAAAAAACCCATAAAATTCAGTGCTTGGGCAAAAGGTGGCAGAGAGACTTCATTCATGGTGTCTTCCATCTCAGTGATTTTGATACTTGAATAGGAGGAGTACTTGGTTTTTGGGGAGGAAAAGGAATTATTTTGGTCCTATAGCAATTAACAATGGGAAAAGCTAAACTATAAATAAAGGTCAAACTCAGTAACTGTTGGCATTGGTAATAATTGCATAAATTCCATCAATTTCCACAAAATAACTTTATTAGGCAGATACATGAATATAAAAGATTTACAAATATATTAGTGTTTTCACTGCTGGGGTATACAAAGTAATCAATATTTACACACATTAGTAACTCTGTCTCCAAAATACTGCATAAAAATACTTGGATTACTACTATGAAACTGATCTAGCAGCCTCTTTCTCTCTTTGTCAGAGAGCTTTGAATCTTCATCAATAGCTTTCAACAGAGAGAACAGCTCATCTTTTGTGGTCTTCTCCGTGTTGGAGCGATACTCTCTCTCATCCAGCTTTTGGCAAAAGGTATAACCTGAAAGGAAAGGTGAGATGTTCAGAGGATTATCACCACACTCCACCCACACTCCTTTAGATCACATCAGCCATTGTTACAAACTTTTTTTTGCATTTGGGGGCATGACAAGATGACAAAGCTCAGTGGGAAGGGTTACCTGGTATCTTGCTGGGATCCTGGCCTTTCTGCAGGGCCAGCAGTTTATTGCTGACCATTTTGTGCAGTGCCCCTGGGATCTGGAACAGAAAGAGGACAAGGCAACAGCAGCTTTTCCATCAAAGTTCTCCATCAGCTTTCAGACAAACAAAACCTGGCCATTTTCTAGCTCCTACCTTCAACACATCTCTCTGGTTGTCCACAAGGAACAAGATCAGGAGGTCAGTTTTCCCTCTGGACAGGTTTTTATTGTTGATAATAGCTTTAGAGAATGTTCTTTTCACAACCATCCTGTTGTCACTCTACAGAACAAAGGGAAATAATGACCAGAAGAGGAGAGTTAGTGCCCACCTTTGTTCTTCTGAGACATGGCTTTTCCTGTAGTCACCAATTTAAACTACAAAGGCGGTTTCTGACCAGTACCTGGGCAGTCTGGATTTCAGAAAGAGCAAAACAACTGCCAAGAATGCAGATTTACCTCCTTCTGTAGCTTGAGCTCAGAGCTATGTGCTGCAACAGCCATGAAGTACAGCAGTCTCCTGAACTCCTCCCTGACTTGGCTGTCTAGGAGCTTCAAATAGAGCTGAACAGCTTCTAAAGACTGCTCCATCTTCCCATTCACTGGGGAGAGAGAAAGGGATCCATTGCCATATTCATTTAAGTAAATGTTACCATAAAACACCTGAATTAGCCACTGAAGAGATGCCCTTCTCTCTAAACAGAACCTGCCAAACACAGCAATCCATTCTCCCAAAAACCTCTCCCAGGCTGAGGAGAGCTGCTTGCAGAGCCTCTGACAACATCCCACACACAGACCTTCAGCCTGGCATTAAAGCTCCCTTGTAATTAAGTTCAATTACAGTTCAGCCATCTTAAAGGGGGTGAGAAATACTGAAAAAGGAAAATGGTTCTATTAAAAAAAAAAAAAAAAAACCAAAAAAGAATGACCTCTGCTTGTGGTAATAAAGACCTCACAAAACCTGAGGAATATGTCCTAGATACATGGGCTAGTTTGATGAGTTAATTGCAAATTACTTTGTAGAACTTTGCTAAGTTTTAATTTGCCTTACTATGCAGAATAGTCATTTTAGAGTTGTGAATTGTTTAAATGAAGTAGGCTATACTAATATCCTTTATCACGTAGAGAAGAAGAATGGGATATCAAGGGTAAGTATTCCAGTTAACATGAAAAAAGGAGAATAATCAAGGCAGAGAACTTATGAAAAATAAGAAGATCTGGGATAAAATGTTGAGAACTAATACATCATAAGCTTTCTAAAATGGTGTCCAAACAAAATTTAAAAACAAGTAAAGAAGAAAAACTAAAAGTTGCCAATGGGATACCAAGTATGTACAGCTTTCAGTTTAGCTCTTACAGCCTAAATATTTACTATTAGGCTATATTTATATTTCATTTCCCATGGATATCTGACTTCCATGGATACCAGCTAGTACCAAATAATAACACTCTGGTTTCACAGCCATTCTACATACACCTGAACAATGATTACAGAACTGCATACAGTAAGAACCAAAATGTCAAAGAACAGTCTTTATGACTAGAAATTTGAAAAAAACCCCAACCATACATAAAGTCCTCAAACAAACAAACTCAAACCCAAACAAAAAGCCACTTGTAGAAGTCAGCTTTTATTCTCAGCTCCTGAGGTAAACATTCAGTTTCGTAGTACATATTGAGATATGTAAGCATTGGAACACAGCTCTGTCTTACTTACCTAATAGTTCTGCAATTCCTAAATGAATTTCAGGTGCATGGCTTAAGAGTGGCTCCTTTTTTTGGCTGTAGTATCTCCCAATGTTTTCAAACAGTAGCAGCTTCCAGGAATCTGCTTTGTCTGGCTGATCAGGCAGGTTCCTGCTAATATCCACCACCATATGATCAGGAAGATATTCCAAGCAATCAATTGCTGCAGAGAGCCACTCGTCTGTCCTGGAAGACAGAGGGGTTTGGGGTTGTACCTTTAATTGTGGGTGCCCTTCAGAGCTGGCTGCAATGCTTTCCAGAGAGAGCAGGCAGACTGGTTCCTTCATCACACTGAAAACTGAGCGTGCGGGCACTAAAACCCATTGGAAATTCACACACAAGACACCTCACCTGACACACTGGGGCAGATCACAGCCATAAGCCTCTTTTTGTTACGTATTTAATCAAGATGAAAAATTAGTAACCCACAAGTAAACAGGCCCAAGCAGTAAAACCCAAAGTCAATCATGTCCTCTACTGTTAGATAAGGACACAATTATCGCTGGATAAACAGAAACATGAACCTTGATCTGATTCAGACTGGTACAAGTTTTTCTGAGAATGTTTTCACCTCTATGCACAGTTTCAAGCTCAACATTCTTAGCTCTTTGAACACAGTAGGAGAAACTAAACTAGTTCCTCACAAGCAATGTCTCCAGGAAAAACTTTCATGATGATTACAAACCCTCAACGCAACAAAGAATTTCCCCTCTGAACACCATCAGCTACTGTCATTGCATTCAAAACCCATCCCAGTGCTCAGCAGACATTCTCACCAAGCAATTGATATTTACCAGTTATTCCAGTCAAGTCCAACAGGGGGAAAAAAGCTCACATCCCTTCTGCAGCACTGAGACTGCTACATTTGCTACATCCCCCCGAAGCCCACCTGTGCTTTACACTCCCCTGAAAGCAGAAAGTTTGTCAGAGCTGC